TTTTTCTGGATGATTTAGGATAAGAAATAGAAATAGAAATGAAAGTGGAGTTTAGAGAAAAGTTTGATTCCAGATTTTATTTTTGGATCTTCTCTGAGTAACCAAAACCTAATAATGTACATGCAAAGTACATGTGATCATTTGACCATTAAACATGAGAGGATAAATTTTAAAAGTGCCAGTTTCACTAGATTGTTTAATCGGGGCTAAAACAATGAATCAGAAGGATTATCTGTAAATTAAAGAATTATTAATATAATGATTAATAAATGTGTGTGTATACGTGTATGTGTGGGTGTGTATTTAAATTATAATATAAAATGTCTAATAGTTTTTTTATATACAATTTCAAAAACATTTTTAGAAATATGAATTTCCTAAAAGTATGTCTTTTTAGATCAATGGATCAATCAACAAAAAAAAAAAAAAAATCGATCCTGAAATAATCAACAGCTGCAGCCCCTCTTCATCTGCATGTTTCACAGAACAAGGGTCGGGTTAAAAAGACTAAAGTTGCAAATCTCTGGATATTTTACTAATTTGTTAAAGAGTGGAGCTTTTGAGGATACACTTATCTGACTTTGGTAAGTATAAGAGTTATAGTTTTGGCACCAGAGCTGGAATTTTAAAACGCAAAAATATGTAGAAACCCTTAAATTCTGAAAAGTGGCATGCATGTGTATAGGGCTTCCTTTACTCAGGGTTCCTGCGGGTCCTTAAAAAGTCTTAAAAGGCATTGAATTCTTCAAAATAAAACTAAGGCCTTAATTTGTATTAAAATGCCCTAAATCAGTCTTTCGTAGGTCTTATTTTTTAAAACATCGTAAATAGGATTATTTTTATTACGATTTAGTTTTGTAATCTAAATAAAACATTAAAATTGACCTTTTTTTTTTTATTTAAAAAAAATAACGGCTCGCCATTATTGGTTCCGTCCCAACAGCGGAACCAATAAAAGCGTTGTTGCAGCCGGGACATTTGGGAGATGCACCATTAACTTTTAGTCTGGAAAATATGATCAAGTGTAAATGTAACCAAAATTGTCTCCAGCCAAGAGTTTTCTCCATGGCTAAAACCAGGGAACATACATGAGGCTCAGTGGATTTTGTGCAAGAAGTCATTCAAGCTCAGAACAATGGGAATTAAGGCAGTGGAGTCGCACATGCGAAGCACGAAACACAAAGCGTCAAAATGGAGTTACCGAGAAACAGCAAGTATTTCTCAG